AAGACACCTAAATTGGAAATTTGAGAACAGTTACAGTGCCAGTGAGACATGAACCAATCCCCTTATGTCACTTGCGTCTAAAATGAATTTAATATATATTTTATTTATTAAAAAATATACACGTGATACAAAGAAGATAACCGGCACTCGCACTCGCAAGATTCATTGATTGAAAAATCAACCATGCAAAAAGAAAGAATGTTGGTATATGATGATTTATTATTTCAATTGGGAAATAGGGATGGTGTCATCATCAACAGAGGGGGGGATTTCTACAGAGAGATGGGCTCAACATAAATCTATAACGAATAAAAATAAAAGATTCATTAAGATGCGCATAAACTGTTTTAGATATTTTCATAATCAGATACCAACCAAAAAGCTTTAAAAAAAAGGTGAAGTAAATGCCAAAAGAAGAAGACTTATGTTTATTAGTGAAATTCACATTATTTTAATGAAACTGCACATCCCATCCGGCGTTGCAACCATTCAAGACAAAGAAATGTTAATCAATTAATGTATTTTATTTAAACAAGGTGATCTACAAAAAAATTAGGGAGATTAGAATATTCAACAACATGGACAGCCAAAAGTTACGGAATCTTGACATTTAATGATAATGAGAGGGCAAGTTGGAAATATGACTTGTTCAATTACACAGATTTCAAAAGATGCCTCAGCAGGCAAATCAATGTACAATCATCCAATGAAAAAAACAGCCCCAGCTCCTTATTTTGGCTGAATCTTGAAGACCAAGTCAACTGTGAACAAGAAGTCAAGCACTTAATTGATCAATATAGCTTGGAAGAAGATATCTATAATAAATAAGGACCTCACATTCCTCTCCCATCGCCGTCTCATTTAGTAGTTGCTTGCATCTACAAATTTTGAATGGAGAGATTTTGAAAATGGGTTCTACCCATTCTAAATTGATCAACCATAAATTAATACATCGCGTTTATAAAAAAAAATTAATGAAAATGATTTGTGAATGTAATATTATTAGAATAAATTATATACAATAGTGTGGTTCTACTCTTCTCCAACCTCTAACTTCTTTTCATATCTTCCTGTTTTTCTGTCTTCTAGTTCACCCCACTGCTGAAGTACATGGATTTTTGCACATGAATTCAGATTTTTTTGTTAACTATTAGCTATCTTGCTTAATCTATGACTGTTTCCTGGTAATGAAAAGGCAAGTTTTATACTATTTCTTGTTTCATTCATAAGTGTGTTATTGTTATACAAGTTAAAGAAAATCTGGGATAAGATAAATGTATTGAATTATCAATATATCTATTTAAATATATAAATATTTTATTTATAAAACTACTGACAATAAGAAAAAACTATATTGAATTTTGAATTTTGTTCACTTCTTAATGCAAGTGGGTGCAGAGTTTTTAAGTCTGCACAAAGACAATCTCTTTTAAGATGGAAAAGAGATAAGAGCTAACAGTCTACTGACAGCCGCAAATAATGGTACCAAATTTAAGCACTCAACTGCAGCTTTCAAGACACCTAAATTGGACATTAACCAGTCCCCTTATGTCACTTGTGTCTAAAATGACACGTGATACAAAGAAGATAACCTGTTGGGGTTGGAACTTCTGCAGCACAATGGGCTAAGCAGAAATCTACAGTGAAGTAAATGCCAAAGGAAGAATACTTATATTTACTGGAGGAATTCACATTATTTTAAATGAAACTGCACATCCCATCCGGCGTTGCAACCACTCAAGCCAGAAATTTTAATGTATTTTATTTAAACAAGGTGATATACAGAAAATTAGGGAGGGAACCTATATATATATATATAAAGCTAAATACTCCCTTTGGTTGTTCCACTCGTGAGACATTTGAGAACTCATTTTGGGGTTATAAAATTGTTCTATTTTGACATCTTGGATTGACAAGTAGGATTTGTGGTTTAATGAGCCCAATCAAATTGTTTTATTTTGACACATTGGATTTATATTTATTATTCCATCTTGACATGTTGGATTTATATTAATAATTAATAAAAATTGTATTAATAATTATATAGGTGTATTGCATTGGCATTTTAAAGGTCTAACCATTTTGACACTTTGGATTTATGATTGCGGTTGAATTTTATTGGTGATGATGTAGATAAATATTAATTGCTGTATTGGTATTCCAAATATCTAAATAAATAGATATAAAGATTGGAATGCGTAGGTGCATTGCATTGGTATCCAGTCTTTTCATATTCAGTGTATATATATTAGGTATCCTAAAGGCTTGATTATATAGATGCATTATATTTATTGCTCCATCTACAATTAATAATAATAATAATATAGGTGTACTGCATTGTCATTCCAAAGCTGTAACCATTTTGACGTGTTGGATGTGAATTAATAACAAGTATATAGGTGCATTGGATTGCTATTAATAATTGTGGTTTAATGACATATGTTAATGATTGCTATTAATAATTATATAGGTGCATTGTAAACGTTTCTTCGTATTCAATTTGTATTTAAATGTGTTGGCATTCAAAATGTCTAAATAAGGGGTTATAAAATGGGCGTATGTTCAGTTGTATATTATCGCAATATGTTAGTTCGTGTCAACAATACATCTGGTCTTTTGTTAATTGTTTATAGGTCAAGTTAGTTTGTGTCAATAATATGTCTGTTCTTCATGATTTTGTTAATCGATGATTTTTTATTTATTTATTTATGTTTTTGTTGTTGTCTATAGGTTAAAGATTCATGAATTTGCATGAAATAAAGGTAGGATGTCCAATTGATATTGTCAAATGAGTTGCTATTTTGATTTATTCTTCTAAACTGTAAACATATCATCTAACTATTTTAATACGAAACTGTAATTATTTCTCCTAATTATTTTAACGGTTATTATTTGATTGAATGGTTATTTTTGTTCAGCCAATGTATTTGAATGATTAATTGTGTTATTCTTGTTGAACGGTAAGTGTATCCCTTAACAATTTTAATATAAAGATTAATTAACGTTTGTTGATTCCATTTTCAGGTAAAAGTTGTTAGACAAATGAATAATTGTTCTTTAATAATCTTAACATGAAGATCGATTAAATTTTGTTATGTTCGTTTTCTAAGAAATGTTCATGTATTTTAATAAAATCAAATCGATGATGATCCTATTATCAGTCGAATTGTGAGTATGAGTCATATTTATATTAGTAAAAACAGTTCATTTGTGTTGAATATGTTTTCTTTAAAAACATTCGTGTATTTTAATTTATTATATGAATGATTAATTGTTTATGTCCTGCTGATATGCGAGTATATATGTTAAATGAATTAATTTTGGCTGATTCCGTTTTCCAATTAATAGGTGTTATTTGAAATATTTCTTATCAATCCTAATATGATAATCCCTTAAATTTGGGTTAAATAAACCATTCATTTTATTATATCACACATTTCAATTTCCACTAAACAATCAGTAGTAAATTGATCATAACTTGCTCAATAAAAATCCAATTAATGAGAGGATTGAATCTTTAGAAACTAGACAGACATGACTTTAATTTGATATATTATACACTTAATTTAGATAACTGTAGCCCCACTGCCAAACCATTTTTTTTATCTTTACACACATTTCGACTTCCACTTAACAGTCAGTAGTAAATTGACCATAACTTGCTCAATAAAACTCTAATTGACAAGAAGATTGAATCTTTAGAAACTAGAAAAACAAGGCTTTAAATTGATATATTATAAACTTAATTTGGATAACTGTGGCCCCACTTCCGAACCATTCATTTTATCATCATACATATTTTAGCCTCCACTGAACAGTCAGTAATAAATTGACTATAACTTGCTCACTAAAACTCCAATTGATGAGAGGATTGAATCTTTAGAAACTAGACAGACAGAGCTTTATATACGCTTAATTTGGATAACTGTAGCCCCAATGTTGAATCATTTCTTTTATCATCACACACATTTCGGTTTCCCATGTTTCTCAATTTCTACTGAACAATCAATAATAAATTAGCCATAACTTGCACAATAAAACTCCAGTTGATGAGCGGATTGAATTTTTGAAAACTAGACAAACAGAGCTTTAATTTGATATATTATACGCTTAATTTGGATAACTGTATCACCACTGCCGAACCATTCCTTTTATCATCATATATATTTCAATTTTTACTGAATAGTCAGTAATAAATTGATCATAACTTGCTCAATAAAACTTCAATTTGTGAGAGGTTTGAATATTTAGAAACTAGACAAATAGAGCTTTAATTTGATATATTATACACTTAATCTGGATAACTATAACATCATTGTTGAACCATTCTTTTTATCATTACACACATTTTGATTTTCACTGAACAATAAGTAATAAACTAACAATAACTGGCTTAATAAAACTGCAATTAATGAGAGGTTTGAATCTTTAGAAACTAGACAGATAAAACTTTAATTTAATATATTATAAACTTGATTTGGAACTTATGCAGCAAGGTAAAGTAAATGCCAAGGAAGAAGACTTATTTCTACTGGTGGAATTCACATTATTTTAAATGAAACTGCACATCCCATCCGGCGTTGCAACCATTCAAGACAAATAAATTTTAATTTATTTTATTTAAACAAGGTGATCTACAGAAAATTAGGGAGGGAATCATTAGAATATTCAACAAAATGGACAGCCGAAAGTTACGAAATCTTGGCATTAATGAGAAAGCAAGTTGGAAATATGTCTAGTTCAATTACACAGATTTCAAAAGATGCCAGCCCAATGTACAATCATCCAATGAAAAAAATAGCCCCGGCTAGCAAGAGTCCTTATTTTGGCTGAATCTTCATCACATAAGTCAACTGTGAGCAAGAAGTCAAGCAATTAATCGATCAATAGTGGAAGAAAATATCTAATCATAAATAAGGACCTCACATTCCTCTCCCATTGCCGTCTTCTCATTTAGTAGTTGCTTGCATCTAAAAGTTTTGAATAGAGAGATTCTGAAAATGGGTTCTGTAGGAGAACATGGTGAGGAGGGTCGGCAAAGAAGTTACTGGAGATGGAGCAAGCAAGATTTCCTACCAGAAGAATCCTTTCAAAGCTGGGATAACTACCTTCATGCATTGTCCCAGACACGTTTTCGGTTCAAGGACCGTCTCATAAGCAGGTCAGATGACGCCAATGAGATTGATGTGCTTCGGAAACAAAGTGAGAATGACATGAAACGTTGCCTAACCTGGTGGGATCTCACCTGGTTTGGATTTGGTGCAGTTATTGGAGCTGGTATCTTTGTGCTCACTGGCCAGGAAGCTCATAAGGATGCTGGACCAGCCATTATTTTATCCTACGTTGCTTCTGGTGTTTCTGCGATGCTCTCTGTCTTCTGCTATACAGAATTTGCAATAGAGATCCCAGTAGCAGGTGGATCATTTGCTTACTTAAGAATTGAATTAGGAGACTTTGCAGCGTTCATCACAGCTGGAAACATACTTCTTGAAAGCATTGTAGGAAGTGCAGCAGTTGCAAGATCATGGACTTCTTATTTCACAACTCTGTTGAACCGTAAAACCAACTCATTAAGGATCCACACTAATCTCACTGATGGATACAATCTCCTGGACCCAATAGCTGTTGTTGTCCTGGCAGTCGCGGCAACAATTGCAATGATTAGTGCAAGGAAAACTTCACAACTAAATTGGATAGCATCTGCAGTTAATACCATAGTAATTTTATTTGTGATTATTGCAGGGTTTGCTCATTCCGACACTTCTAATATGACACCCTTTCTCCCTTTTGGGGCTGCGGGTGTCTTCAGGGCAGCTGCAATTGTTTACTTTGCTTATGGAGGATTTGACAATATTGCCACCATGGCAGAAGAAACAAAAAACCCATCAAGAGATATACCAATTGGACTGCTTGGATCAATGTCAATCATCACAGTGATATATTGCTTAATGGCACTTTCACTAACCATGATGCAGAAATACACAGAAATAGATCCAGATGCAGCTTATCCAATTGCATTTCAGAGTGTGGGGATGAAATGGGCAAAATACCTGGTCGCTCTTGGTGCCCTTAAGGGGATGACAACTGTTCTTCTGGTAGGGGCACTCGGTCAGGCACGGTATACTACTCACATTGCACGAGCCCACATGATCCCACCATGGTTTGCACTTGTTCATCCAAAGACTGGAACACCAATAAATGCCACACTTCTTATTGCCATTGCAAGTGCTGTCCTTGCGTTCTTTTCAAGCTTGGATATCCTGTCATCCTTGTTATCTGTAAGCACACTCTTTGTCTTCATGATGATGGCTGTTGCACTTCTCGTGAGGAGATACTATGTGCGAGAAATCACACCAAGAATGCACCTCTTGAAGCTTGTTATCTTTCTACTGATTATTATTGCTTCCTCAATGGGGATCTCAGCCTACTGGGGATTAAAGCCAGATGGTTGGGTTGGATATGTCATCACACTTCCTCTTTGGTTCCTGGCGACTTTGGCGATACAACTGTTTCTGCCTCAGCAGAGAACACCAAAAGTATGGGGAGTTCCACTGGTTCCATGGCTTCCATCGCTGTCAATTGCAACAAATATCTTTCTTATGGGATCTTTGGGACAGGATGCTTTTATAAGATTTGGAACCTGTACACTTGTAATGCTGGTTTACTATTTTCTCTTTGGTCTCCATGCAACTTATGATATGGCTCAGGAGCAGAAGAAGGCAGAACCCCTGAAGAATATAAAAGATGAGAACACAATGGGGAGAGCAGGGCCTTGAGATTATTGTACTCTAGACACTTTAATATTCCTATTCTTCTCAAGAATGTCTTTCTGCTTTTGTTCATACTAGGATTTGCTAAGTTCTGATATGGATAATCTCGTAGTCCAGGTTGCAGTCTACAGTATAAAATAAAAATTCAAGAAAAAATGTCTACTTTCTGTGCAGTAAAAGAAGATTCATACAGAAACCAAATGCCATGATTAAGTTGATTTAGTAATGACTGTAAAATGAGGCTTTAACAATAAAAAAAATAAAAAAACAAGAATAATTGTAAAATTTAAAATACAAACATAAATATATTTTTGATATACAAGCCTCAATCATTTGCACCCTTGCAAGTGTAGAGATTAATGGATACTAAAATACTCTTAACTGTTTGCATCATGGCTTTCCAACACCCTCATAAAGTTTCCATGGCTTTGGACTCATAATGACAAGAGATAAGTGATAACAATAGAAATATGAAATAATACAACGCATACATACTATCCAAACAAACTCTCATATAGAAATCAATGTGAAACAAAATAAATGGACATGTTAAAATTAAGAATAAATTAAGCAAATGAAAATAGGTGGCATGAAATTTGCACAATAGTGCCACATCAGTAATACAGATTAGGTGCATATTTTGATTTTTAAATTCAAATTAGATAAAACGTAGGATACTTTTTTAATGTTTTTCAGTGATTTGGCAATCAAAATAATAAACAGAAGAGGAAAAGGCAAGAAAAGTACCTTAACGAGTCTTGCTATAATACATAGTAAAAGGAGAGTCTATCAAGTTTGTAGAACATCACAATAGATCAACCTTCTGATCAACCAAAGCAAGAAGACAGAAATAATGTATGATAAAATACCTAAATTTACACTTTTTCTTAATCTTCACAACAATCATAGTGGGGGAAGAAGGAAAGTGAAAGCAAAGTGACTTCTTTTTTCTTTTGATAATTCAATTTTTAAAGGCATGTGAAAGTGAAATGATGAGACATATATTACTCCAACCACTGAAATTCTTACTAAAGTAAGAAATATGTTCCAAAATTCCCTGATTTAGTCCATATCCAATGGGCATATATTTGAAATAAAATCTCAATACCAAAACAGACCCAACAAGGAAGATGACATTCAACTTCAGGAAACAACAAAATGCCAAAACTAGTCGATGTATGTATTATCAGTTATATGAATTATTAAAAATCTTTGGTTTTCCTATCAAAAACAAAAACAAAAACAAAAAATACCTTGCTTAAAAGTACTGCCAACCTCCTCCAACCTACTGTTTCGAAGACTCGAGTATGTCAGTTTGGTACCATTCACAACCTCCATATGGTTTGCAACCAAGAGTCTCCACAATCAAAAGGAAATTGCACTACATGACACAGGAATAGAAGTATAAGTTAAATTAATGGCCAAAGTACCTTCACAGCATGTCCTTGAAGGATTATTTGCTTAAAACATAGAGAAACTTCATAACATAATCACAACAATCATTACTATTATGAGTTTCCACTCAGAAGGGTTATTTTTCTGGCATAAAGTTATTTCAGTTTTAGCAGTTTGAGCCAAAAAAAAAGAAAAAAGAAAAAAGAAATGAAAGCTTAATTAAGTACAAAGATATAACCCAACTTTTGAAAGAAAACAGTAAGAAAAAGCCTTACCTAAAGAATCAGCTGTACAAGTTTCTCCAACATGTGTCAATAGCTGCTTGAATCTTTTTAGGTTTGCAAAAGTCTTGAACAATTTTTTCCCAAGTTGAGGCTTTTGGAGATAAAAATTTTTGCAGCATCACTTCTACAATCTTGTAAGCACCTAAAGTTCTTTTTCTCTTAAAGAGACGGACTACAAGCTCATCTAAAAACTCTCTCCCATCCTGAGGTGTATCTAACCCTTTCAAAGCTGTCAAAAAGATGTTGCATGTATATACATCAGGGTCACAGCCCCGGTCCATCATACTATTCAAAAGATCAATGGCACAAGAGATGTTACTTTGCTTGCACAAAGCATTAAATAGGATGTTATAAGTGACAACATCAGGTTGAGATTCCGGCTCCTGGAAAAGCATCTCATTGAAAAGTTTCAAAGCTTCTTCTAATGAGCCAGCATTGCATAGGCCATGAATCATCGAACTGTAAGCCACGGCATCAGGTTTACATCCTCTGCTCAGCATTTGTGCCCACACCATCTTAGCCTCACTGAGTTTCCCACCCCCACAAAGTCCATTAATAAGCACACTATAACAAACCGCATTGCATATACAGTTATTCTTTGCCATCTCTTTCCAAATTTGAATAGCCTTATCACTTTTACCACTCTCAAAGAAACCTTTCATCAAGGAGCTATAAGTGAAAGCATTGGGAATGCAACCCTTATTCATCATTTCAAAGAGAACTTCCTCAGCTTCATCTGGTTTGCCCACTCGGCATAATCCATCTATAAGAGCACTGTAAACAACACTATTTGGCTTACAGCCTTTTTTGATCATTTCCTTCCACAGGTTCATTGCGTCCTCAGACTTCCCCTCCTTAAACAATCCACTAATAAGACTCGAATAAATATACTCATTCAAACGAAACTGTCTTTCCTCCATAGAAACCAACACACGAACACCATCAGCAGCTCTCCCTTGCTTCACTAACCCATCAATTATCGTTCCATATGTAACTACATTAGGCACACATTTATTTGACACCATCTGATCCAAAAGACTAACCGCCTTATCCAACTTCCCCTTAAGACACAAACCATGAATAAGCGTATTATAAGTCACCTCATTGGGGGCACATCCTTTGAGAAGCATGTTATCCACAATTTTGGTTGCACGTGCCAAGTCACCCTTCTTGCACAACCCATTAATCAAAACATTGAACGTAACAGGACTAGGGAAGCAACCCTCAATTTGCATCTCATCCAACAGCAAAACAGCCTCATCAGTTCTGTTTTCCTTGCACAACCCATCCATCAATGTACAATAAGTATACACATCCGGTACACATTTCTTAACCGGCATCTCTGTAAACACCTCAATTGCTTTATCAACCAATCCCAATTTACACATATTCTTGATAACCAAATTAAAACTCAAGACATTAGGCAAAATATTCATGCTTTTATCATTAACAACACAATTGTAAAACTCCAAAGCGCGAGAATAAAAGCCCTCTTGTATTATCACATTAAGAACCGAATTAAACGACCTAACAGTTCTTTTACACTGAAATTCATCAACCATTCTATAAAACAAATCAACAACTTCATCCACCAAATGTGCTTTACCATAAGCCTTAAACATCAGAATAAAACTCTTCTCCAAAACCACTCTCTTTTCGCATCTCATTTGATACAAAACCCTCTCTAAAGCCCTAAGATCCCCAGAATTCGCATAGTTTTCAATGAGTGAATAAAAGGTTGAATCACCTTGCTTATAAGAACCTAGTCTTGGACCAGACTTAAAGATATGATCAGATATTGGTTTCTCAGACTCATATATATTTTCAGGTTCAGAGTCCACACATTTGTTTGATGGAATTGAACTAAGAACTGAAAAGAAACAATGAAAGGACTGACTTGGGGTTTTGATTGAGGAGAAGCTCCTGATGATGGAGTTGAAAAGGAGGGTTTTCGAGTGATAAAGAGACCATTTTGGCATGGGTACAAAAGGATCTCCTGTTTAAGGGTTGTGGAAGGTTTAATGTAGTGAAAGCTTGGGGTTTTACAAGGGTTTTTGTTCAATTTTATTAAAGCTCAAGTTCAGAGAAAGACATAAACCTAACTCAAACTCAGCTGTGATGACAACGAGCTCAAGTGGTTAGCTGCTTCCTTACGGGACCGGTACTGTTCCTGGGTCAAGTTCAACGGTCAGTAAATCACGCATCCAACGATTTAAACTAGCCCAGTAAAATAACAGATGCAGTAGGAATGTGCATTCTTTTTTTTCTTTTTTCTTTTTTTTTTTGATAATTTCATTAATTTAATTTTTTTAACGGATGACTTTTGCGAAGGTTTATTTTATATTTTTATAGTGTCATTTTTTTTTTAATTATTTGTAAGAGAGTTACATTTATGAAGAAAAAAAATTAATTGTAACAAATATGGTAAACTTCTATTATGTCTTCATTCTCTTTATTTTCTTCTTTTATTCTCATTTAATTATTTCATTTTTGTTAATATAATTGGGATGCTTAATTAAAAAAAAAATTATGAAATATATTTTGTAATTTTCTCTCATCTTGGCAGATACCAATTTAAGAAATTAGATCCTGTTAACACGAATAATTTATTTAAAATTTTTATTCAAAAAAGATGAGGTGCCATCCACACCAGTTTTTGTACTTAATTGACATTTTTTTATAATATTTATACTGTATAAATATATTTTGCAATATTTCAATTTGTGTGAGTACATATTGTCACGGATCTCATGTCGGAAGTGCGTTAGAGAAGTCTTGCACTTATAAGAGAGAGTCTCTCTACCTAATGGATTAACTTTTTAAGTATAAAACTCTTAACCCTATGACAAATGATATCATAAAAGATTTGATCCGTCTTTCGATGTCTAGCCCCACCAGTGACAAATTTTGTAATTTCAAAGATTTGTAGTGAAATATAAAAAGATTTAAAAAAAAAAAAATGAATTTCAAAACTAATTTATCTAAGTCCATATGTTTTTTTACCAATATAAATTCAATGAAATTCACATTATTGGTAAATTATAGTAGTTCACTTGATTATGATATATAATTAATTTGATTAACCTTTTACACATACATTATTAATTACATATGAAATTATTCACGAGGTATATCAAAAACAAATCCCATTTACGGAGGCTCGTGATCTTTTGGCACACAAAACCCTTAAAACGGTGGCAAGGAACCAATGGAGTGATAAATCTTTTGTTGACGGCCGCAAAGGGTTGTTAGCCAAGGTTCCTGCTATTCCCATCGAAGACGTCAAAGTAGACCTCCACTATAATATGAAGTGGCCCATGATTCAATCCAAGTCCTCTCGTCCACCAGATCCGTCGACGCCCAAGGGTAAGAAGGGTAAGAAGAGTAAGAAGAAAGGACGGCGATCATAGCTTCTTGTTCCTTTTCTTTATTGTAGAGTTTGCATGCTCTCTTTGAGTGTTTGTGCCTGTTTTTGTGATTTTGTTTCAGCGCCTGCGTGCTCCTGTGTAGGTGTCTATGCCTTTTTTATTTGAGCCTGCATGCTCTTAAGACAGTAGCGTGTGTGCCTTTTTCGTGTTACTTTGTAACCTCTTCTTTTTGTTTACAAAGTTTATTTACCCAAAAAAAAAAAAAAAAAAAAAACAACGGGACCAAGTAAGAGAGAGAGGCAATGAGCCAATGACTTTGTCTTTGTTGCTTCAATGGTAAGAATATCTCAGAATTGTTCATCAATGGAAACTATAACTTATTGTATAATTTAAAGTTCTTATAAATCATAGTTGTTCTAGTTATATGCCTTATCAATAAACCATCATTTACTTTAGCAATGCTTCATTATATGATAATCTACTTTGAAGCATGCTTTTTAATATATTATATGAAAAGGTTAAATTATAAAACAAAGACTCAAGTAAGAGACATTTCTGGTTCGCCTAAACAAGAAGCAAGAGGTTGAATTAAATGCTTGAATAAATAGGCAAGCAGTTTCTTATTCCAGCACCAGAATAGTCAACAGAACTTACTCTGGAGCAACATCATTTATTCGAAAACTAAAATATCGGTACATTATCTCTTATTTCAGTATTTACTTGTAAATGATAAACTGGTATGACAAAAGATACAGTAATACCACATAAAATGATACATCACTTACAATGAGAAAATGTAGGATAAGACTTCGGATGTATGCAGTTATTTTAAGACTTAAACTACAGCAGCGAACAGATATGCCACAGAGTTCAAGCAGCCGCTTCAGCAGCAGATGAGACTTTCCTGAGGACAAAAACAGGATCCCCAACTTTAACCACATTTCCCCTTCCTTTAGTGAGGCTGTCCTTGCAGACTAAGCTCTGGCCAAAGTAAATCTGCAAGACAACATTATTCATTTTTCATTTGCATATGTGAAGATTATGGTTTGAAAATTTTGGATTCACGGCTTCTCGGTTCTCGGTTCTCACCTTTCCCTGCTGTTTTCGGTTCGGGCGCAACACTTTGTCTGATCTAATTTTCATCAGAGTTTCACTTGGTTCAGAACCAGCAATCCCAGTGTCCTGATTTATAGTTGGTACCTGGAAAACATTGTTTGCAAATAAGCTTGGAATGAGCACCAGGTCAGAAAAATAATATCACAAAATAATTTAATAGGATCTGTACTAATAAAATTTTGTTGGTAAATTCAATTTTTTTCATTTATTATAGAGGGTGTTTGAAAAGGAAACATAAACTGTAATTTTTATCAGATTCTTGCAACGGATAACTACGGTGATTATACTCTTCAAACAGGACTTTGTCGTGGTTTTTACAGCTAAACATCCGAAACCTGCTTGGATTCAACTGACTGATCAACATGTAAGCGCTTATATTACAAATTTACATAATAGCTTTCATATATTATCTAATCAATAGATAAGTACAACAGTTATTTAGCCGACGCGACCACTAAAGTGGAAAGTTTTCAGGAACAAGCAGAAAGGCAACTTTTTAGTTTTTACCTTACAACGGGAGCATAACTTGACACCTTCAAATGTGAACTTGTTAATCCGGACCTCAGTCCATAAGTCCTCAGAAAATGGTTCGCAACCATCGACAAGGATGCTGTCACATACAAGTATACATGAGATATATAGACTAAATACGAGTACGGGAAACAAATGGAAATCTCAAAATAACAAGACAAATCTGATAATATTTGTATCCAAGGCAATAATGAGTATGGGCTCCTAGGGCAGGTTATAATGTAACATCAGCAATTGGCAATGAAAGTCCATCTAGAAAATAAATTTGGGAGCTTTTTAGATGATAAACAGAGATGGTATGATCCGAAGGCATACTTGGGTCTAAAACGGTTGACTGGAACAGGCTCATTGAGAAGCTTATTTAGTGCATCCAAAGACCCCTGCAAAAGATAATTCTTTTTATAAGTTCAAGCTCTGAGATACCAAGTCACAAAAAGGACAGTGTATATTACATGTTTCTCAAGACTAACCTGAGACAAAAGCATATATGGATACTGGTCGGAAAACATTAGATTGTGTCCCCGAGCATATTCTGGATCCACAGGCCTATTTTCTGATGCTGCAGTAGCACAAAATGCAGCCAAATTATCAACCATCAAAGTCAAAGTTAAAATATGTAAGACTATACAAATTCATCTGCTAAAAAATTAGTTATGCTCATGACCAGTATTCCCTACATTACATATATTTTTCTCCAGGAATTCCCTCTTAAAGTTTTCTGATTTTTACTACGCTCATAGTGCAGCCAACGTGCTATACTTATGAAATGTACCAAAAACCAAATTCAACCTGCATTAAAACGAACTAGCCGGCTAGTTTTCCCGAGAAATTTTGTAAACCAGTTTGCTGCTTCAGCTCCTTCATCCAATGCAGAGCCAGACCACTCCCACACGGAAACACCATCTGTTACATCATGTGGTTTACTCAGCGAAATCTTAAGCACATCCATCCCTGGAGCCTTTATTACTGTAAAAGAAAGTGAGTCAAGTTACATTCGAAAATCTCATAAACCATATTAAAAAGAAACGGGAAGCACATGGAATGACAATTTTGAAGATAAATCCAAAGGCAATTAAAGATACCTAAACCATGCCTGTCAATGTAAAATTTGAACTGGAAAAGGCTTCATACCCAAAATAAGAGATTAATGATTTAAGTCACAGTTAAAAAGGCTAAGCATAACACAATCCTGAGCACCATGACAACTTGCACTGTATATATAGGAAATACTATTTCTAGTCTCATTTACTTTAACTCAAACATTTTTGCAATGATGTTTACTAACACTATTCAGATTATCACAGTAGTAAAGAAACGATATCCAATCAGATGAAACTTCAATCTATATGGAAAAGATCTCTCATGCAAATCTTTTAAAATTTAAGTTCAGGATGACTACTCGTGCAAGCATACCATGATGGTATTGACAACAACTTCTGTTACTGATGAACTAATCTTCAGTTTAGACAAGCAAGTCGAAGAAAGAAATAATAAGAAACCACAACATCACTTCAAATTAAAAAGGAGGGTATTGAACTCCATGAACATAATATTTTTTAAAAAGAAGGAAAAAAAGGAAAAGTAAAAGTAAAATAGAAATGAAAAATGATGTTACCCATATATGAGCCCCCAGTAGGCTCCCATCCTTCTAAAAATGCCTCCTTTGGAAGCTCAACCTCAACAAGAGCGAGCTTTGGTTCGTTTCTTTGCGTAACTGCCCTGCCTTTTTGATTAACTATTATCCACTGCCTATCCCACCGAAATCCTGCAGTATATCCAAACACAGAAATTGAAGTTAACTTTGCATGTTGAACAACTGAACCACAAATGAATTGATTTACTAGGAGCTAGAATTATTCAAAACCATGACAGTAACACAATTATTCAGATAGACCTTTATACAATCGAACGCTTAAATTCACTCTATGACAAACACAACTAAATAAAACTGGCTAACTGCTCTAGTGATCAAGTACAAAACCTAAAAACAAAAACATTAAAAGAACATCATCAAAACAATTTATATAAATTATTCAATTCCAGAAGCTATTCAGAGAAATTCACATGATTACTCAAAATTTGACAAAACAAGAAAGAAAAGCATAAATGAGAATTACAAGGGTTCGACATCAATATTTATCAACAGGTCTGTCACATAACATGAATATAATTTAAGGTCTAAGGGATCCTGTCGAACTGAGAATTCAAAAGTCAAACGGAAGTAAATCAATTGAACAGAGATTCATGTGATTGACTGAATTAATAGGCAAGATTGATAAGGCAAGTGATAAATTTAAACATGAAGCCTCTAGCTCTGGTATCATGCAAGCATAAGCTATAAAGGTTAACATTAACTATTAATATTCAAATCTTATGCAGATAAGTTAGTCATCAAATTAAACTTACTTTTGGTTAAGAAAGCCAAGAAATCTAATAAGAGCCGCACATATAAATCACCATACAGAAGATTTTCATGCATAATCCAATTTAAGAGTGAAAAAAAAAAAAAATTCAATTGGGTTACAAATAAAAACTATAAAAAAAATTACATGAAGAAGAGCAAAAGACGGAAATAAGAAAAATATACGAAAGTGATTATGAGCAGTCAAAAGAGTTGGTATGAGTTTAATTACCAGTAGGAGTGAAATCATCCTACTGAAGATTTTACTTTTAATGCACAAACCAATTGAACACTCTGAGGAAAATCAACTAGGTCATGGAAACAAATATCCATGAACAAGAGCTAGAAATGAAATAAGAAAAGCACGTGAAAGGTGATGATGAGAAGTCAAAGAATGGGTTTGAGTTTAATTAACAGTAGGAGTGAAATCATCCTACAGAAGATTTTAAGCCATAAACCGATTAAACAGTGAGAAAAATCAACTGGGTCAAGGAAACAAACATCCATGAACAAGAACAAGAAATGAAAAATAAGAAAAGCATGCAAAAGCTGATGATGGGTTGAGTTGAATTACCAGTGGGAGTGAGGGGAGCCTGAGAAACAGAAATTACTCTGCATGACTTAACTGGGTATATGAAGATTGATGTCACTTTGGCTGAAGCTTCAGAAGATGATGAAACCTTCTCCATTCTCCCCTTTTTGGTTTTGCTTCTGTAGCGTTAGAGTTCAGCTGGTGATGCTTTCAAGTCCTTATACATATCAAGAATGTTGACATTTCCACTGTGAATTTGTAATGTGGGGCCTCCCTTTCACGATCCTTTGTCCACGTAAACGTGATACAGATGTCTTTAATCCTTCATACCAAGTGCCGTGATGGAAGATGAAGGAATAAATTAATATAAAGAAATAAATTTAATAAAAAAAAGTTGATGAAATTAAAATCTCCCATTGAAATAATACAAATCTTTCTGCTGTTAATAAACTGTTAATGCAGTTAAAATTGACGCTGTTATAAAATAGTAAATGTTATAAAATTACCTTCTTATCATTTATTTTAACACTTAAAACATAATGGTAAAGAGATTTTTGCTTTTTGCTATTTCTAAAATCTCAAAAGGTTTCATATATAAAGGGAATTAATGTCATTAACTCATAATATGAGTAATATTATGTTTACAATTAAATTATAGAAATAGACAAAGAGCAAATGATAAAATAGTTATTTTACATAAATTTCGTGTAATTTTTATCTATTTGTATGATTCATGTATGACTCAATTATAAATAAAACATTATTGCATAGATATAAGTCGAAAGGTATCTTCCCACCCATAGTTTCTCATAAGTATAATTTAGTACCCAAAAAGTTTAAAAATAACAGTAACCCACTTTTCGTCTAAATTTGTTAGTGAAATCAATTAACAAAAATTGTATTATTGATATTCTATCATCTTTGTTGGATAATGTTGACTTTTTATATTTTAGGGTTTTTGCATAAAAAATAAAAAAATAAAAAAAAATTTGCATTAAAATAACATAAAGGAATTTGTCCAAATCTTTTATCTTTCTTCTTCTTCTCTCACTTCTCTTTCTCTTATTCTCTCTCTCTCTTATTTGTCACACTTCCCATCCATTTTCCAGAAAAGCCCCCTCACCGGAAACCTTTCCTCTCCTTGCCAATCGTCTTTTCGGTGTGCCCTCTCCAAAACCCCTACTTTTCCCGTCATCGTTTGTCCACCTTTCACAGCCAATTGAATCCCTAGGGTTTTTGTTGCTTGTTGAATTGGGATTGATTGGTGGCTTTCGAAGTTTCTGATCGGAAATTGATTGGGAGTGCTTTTTTTTTTTCTGTGTTTTTGTTTGATTTTTGGGGATTTCTGATCGGTTCTGGCATTGGTGATTGATTTTCCAGGATTTCCTGTTCCCCCAACCATGCCAAGTCTTCGCTTGCACATGCGCCTGCACTTCTGTGCCTTGCATGTTTTGACTATTCTGAGTGTTTGAGAGTGGTTCTTTGGGATTTTTTTGCATTGATTCATTTGGTGATTGTCTAAGTGAGGTTTTTTTTGGGGCTTTGGTCGTTTTTGCTGGCTGTTGTCTTAGTTCTGGCGAGAGAAGAAGATGAAGACGGAATTCTAATTAAAAAAAATAAAATAATTAAAATTGAGAAGGAAGATTTTTATAAAATTAATATTAAAGAGAGAAAATGAACACGTGGCAAATGTAGAAGGTTAGATTTTTTTGTTTGGATATAAAATTATCATATTGTCCTTCTTTAAATGAATTTTATTTAACAAATTTGGATGGAATGTAGGCAATTCTCATTTTCAAACTTTATGGATACCAAAATTGTCTTTACGGCAAACTATTGGTAGGTACATGTTGTTTCGCCATAAATATATGATAAACTAATTTTAAGGTTAATAACATATTCTCTTCAAGTATAATTAAATAACAAAAATCTCTTTGTTATTATAGTAATAGTAGAAATCTTCTATTGTTAAGTTTTTAGTGCTAAAAAAGGGTAGAAGGGTAATTAAGTAAATATACATTAACTCATCATATTAATTATTATAAATTCTAAAGCTTACTAACAAATAACAATTAGAGAATTTATATTAATTTCTGAAATTTAAAGGAAATAATGATTAAACCTCAAGGTCGAGTAAACCCTCTTTTTATATTGTGCAATAAAATCACATTAATATTTATTTTTTCATATTATAGCAATCTACTATTAATTTTAAAATCATCACTCTATGTATAATAAATGAAAATTTTTTTTTTTAACGCAAATCTATTAAACAATACCACTCAATTTATTATCGCTAGCTATCCTAAAACATTAAAAACCAAATAGAAATTTTTTCATCAAAAACTAAATATAATATAATAACGAATAATACAACTAGTTATAGAGATAAACATTTTAAATTTTTAGATTTCGCATCTGAGAATATTACATATATAATCGTGAGTGTGTGAGTGAAAGTGAATTATTGTCTTATTGCATATTTATAATCATGTAATTTTGTATATGAATTTTGAAAAGAAGATTGCATAATTGAGAAGAAAAAGACATATTTAGAAACTTGTCAATTTGTTAAGATATTAAAGTCATTTAATAGAAATAAATATAATTCTCATTTTCTAAAAAAAGGATACAACAAATTCTATAAAAATTAAAATAAAAAAAACGATTTTTTTAATCCAAGGAATAGACAAAATGAAGCGGTCCAACCCTAAAGAATATCAAAATTGTCCCTATTGAATCTAGGGACTTTATTTTATAATAAAGCTTTAAAAATAAATAAATAAAAAGGTGGATAAAGATCTTTATAAGTATTATTCTAAAGTGAAAAAAGTGATTATAATTGAGGCAAGGTGACCATCTTGGCCATGGACCAATTATGAATTAATTGATTTTAGAGAAAAAAAAAAAACCTATAGTTTGTAGAGTAATACTATTTTCTCACTTATTTACATATTAATGTATTTTCATTAATTTTAGGGTTTTTTTAATAATAAAACTCGTATATTTGGCATTTTCTCGTATAAACATTGCAGGTTTTGAAAATAGATCTAAATCTCTAGTGCTTTTTTTTTTTTTTTTTTTTTTTTTTTTTTTTTTTTTTTTTTTTTTTTAGTGAGCAAACTAGTTTCGAAAATGCGAGCCATCTCTATTTTTTATGTACTACTATATTATTCTGTTTAAGTTTTATGGAAATGACATTTTTATATTCATCCAATTCAATTAATCTAACATTCAAAATTTGTCAATAATATTGAGATATTAATATAAGACTTTACTCCTTTCTTTCTTTTTTTTTTCTAGAAATACATAACTAATTGTCTTTAACACGATTCTCTTTTTCACTTTATATATTTGAGATGACTCAGAACTCTACCAATACCAAATGTTTGTTGACATTTGATATTTCCATCTACCACATTGTTTAAAAAGTAATAGTGTTTGATATCAGTCATATATATATATATATATATATATGAAGACATAGATCAAATGACAACAATGCGTTTTGATTTGGGACCATTGACAACATAAATTTTTTAAATTTTAAATAATTTATTTAAGTATTAATGTATTATTATTATTATTATTATTTCATTATTTCGATAGTTATATGCATGTAAGGGTATTTTTTAAAAAGAAAAATCAATATAAGGCTTAATAAAAAATTTAACCTTTTAAATTAAAATAAAAATAAAAGAAGATTTAAACTTTCACGCTTAAGGGAGTGTTTGGATCATATAATGTTTTATTATAGGAGGATGTTATATTAATAGAAAGATAAATCACCTTGAAGATTATTAGGAATGTTTAAAAAATGTATTTGGTTGGTTCAAATAAATTGGTGAATAATATATTTGGTTGAGAGGATTGTGAGTGAATCACAGACTGCTTTTGAGCATTTTCTTTTCTGTCTAATCAATACTATGGTTAGGTAAACATCATGGGTGGATATATTATATAGATTACTAAATTGTCTTTTTTTTTTTTTAAATATTAATATAATATTATTTTTTCAATCATTTCTTTTAACCGCTTACATTTGAAATTTTGCTAAAACACCCTAGTCATATAAAACTTTATTTTGTAGCAAAATCACCCCACCCACCTCAAGCCAATGCCGGCAGCCAACCATCACCACCGATAGTTGATGGAATGGTGCACGACTGGCCGTGTATGGCCGACCATACGTTGGTAAAGCCATTCCGACCATGGATCACATATCTATTGTTGTTTCATGGCCAAAGATGTGGCCGTGAAAATGCCAGATCTTTGGCTGTGAAATAGTCAGATCTATAGCCATGTGAAAAGGCCTTATCAACGCACGATTGACTAGATCCTGTCGGTTGTGCACTATTATTGTGACTGACGCCGATGATTGACGGTGGTGAGTAACAGTTGACGGTAGTCTTGGGTGGCTGAGGGTATTTTATTAACTTTTAAATTTTTTTGTGGCTAGAGTGTTTTAGCTAATTTCTTAAATGTAGGGGGGCTAGGTAATGATTATTTGGTAGACATTTGAGGACAATTATGTCAGAATGATATTTAATTAAGGGAAAAATAGATATAAAAATAAAAATTATCCAATAATGTTTTAATCCTAAGGGTGGGGGAGGGTATCAAACTACCTCCCACATTACCAACAATAAATACTATTTACAATAAAAGATTTTCATAATATTTTATTACTTACAAACCAAATATCAGAATCTTGTAAAATAAATGAAGATTACCCCTGTTATCTTATATGATCTCGATCCAAACACACCCGAGATTTGAAGTATATTTACATCTTGCTCTGGGATTAAGTGATGCAAACTCTTTTGTTAGGTCAGATAACGGACGTTAATGTACTGAAATTTGCCATAAAGTTTTATGTGAAAAATCTGTTCTACCCTCCTTTATATTATCAAATAACAAATACTATGAAAATTAAATAAAACATCCATTACTTTCCCTCTCTCCATCTCACCGCCACACCCCTCTTCCCACTCAACTCTCTCGCCGCAAACAATACTAAACGCCGCCACCCCCACTGCACAGCTCCTCCACACTCGGATTGACGGTGGTTTTCATGGTTTTTTTTCCATTTTGTGTTGATTTGTGAAGATAGAATTTTTTGTGGGTTACTTGTTTGAAACTTCCATTGTTGGTGGGGAACTTTTGTCTTTGTGGGATTTGTTTTGGAAGATTTCCAGTGATTAACTTGGTTGATTGGGTTTTTCTGGTTAGTGGTGGTGATGCGGTGGCTACAGGTGGCGGGTTGAGTTGACTGGGTCCACTGGGAATTCTCAATTTCTTTTTCAAACTTTTATTTGACATTTTGTTAGTTTTTAATTTTATTTTAGAAATTGTTTATGGAATGTCATATTTACCCTCGTAGTGTTATAAATATCCCTACAAATAACCCCTAAAAGACTATCCCTCGCAATCTAGAAGCCGCGCCTCTCTTTACTCTCGTTATCAACTCGCGATCACTGCCAACGGTTGAGGAAACCACCGAACCCTAGCTCTGACGCCGCCTTCAGTTTCGGCCGTGTGAGGGCGTCCTAGGGCCTGCTCCATTCCAGTTCGAAAAGGTTTATTTATTCATTTTTATTTTGCTTCATCATTTTTTTTTTTAATTAATAATAAGAACATTGATGAAGATTTGTAATTGTTAAAACTAGGCAATTAGAAGCATTTGAGATTGATTTGAATTGCTCATGTTTTTGTTTCGGCAGGGATTGAGATCTGTACTGTTGAAAGTTCAGTATTTTAAATTTAAAACTAATTTTGTGGAATAATTTATGGAGTCTGATCAAAATTTTGATCTTTTTAGCATATCTTATTGCTTGGAAATTAATATGAAGTATTGGAGTTGTGACTTATGTTTATGTGTTTGTCTTGTTTTTAGTTTCGCTTGAGGAGCTTTTGGTAACTAGTGAAAGAGCTTGAGGGAAGTTTTTTATCAGATGGGTAAGAAAACAATTGGGAAGAAAGGTGATGAAAGGAAGAAATACGAGGATGATGTAAGCGATAGAGAAAATGAATCGTGTACTAATGTGGACGATGATGTCGAAGATAAGGAGAAGAAGAGAAAGAAGAGACAGGAGATTGATGTTGTTGAATTAAGTGCTGGCAAAAGTGATGTTGTATTGGAGGATGTTGTTGATGAGGATAAGAAGAAGAAGAAGAAGAAGAAGAAGAAGGGATGTGACGTTGGTGTTGAATTAAGTGAAAGTCGAATTCAGTGTGTTAAAGAAAGTGATGTGAAGGGTGAGAAAAAGGAGAATGAGGAGGTGTTGGAGAGTGGTGGCAATGATGCTGGATTCGGTGATAATCAAAGTAAGGCTGTAATGGATAGTGATGTGCATAGGGATAAGAAGAAGAAGAAGAAAAACAAGAAGATGGATGAAGTTAGTGTTAATGAGGCTGTAACTGAGGGTGATGTTGATAGGAATAGTATTGAAAATGAAAAGGATAAGATGAAGAAGAAGAAAAGAAAAATTGAAGAGTTTGTTGAGGGGCAAACGAATCAAGAAGAGCAAGACTCTGCTGAAACAATGAAAGGGGAAGAAAGTGATCAGAGGAAGAAGAAAAAACAACGTAAGAGGGAAAAAGAGGGCGGTGATGCCATTGTAATGAACAAGGTGACCCATGGAGAAGACAAAAGTGAAAGGGAGCAATTGGATGGAGATATTGTGGAAAAGGTTGAGATTTCAGGGAAAGAGAAGAAGAGAAAACGTAAGAAACACATCAATGCGGTGGGTGATGTAAACAGTGAAGTTAATGATAAAAATATTAGAGACAGTGAAAGTAATGATGCAAGTGGTAGAAATATAGAAGGGCATGTGGTTGTTGAAGTAGATAGCAACAAAGAAAAGAAGAAGAAGTCCAAGTCAGTGAAAGATCATTCAAAGGGAGGTAGCAAAAAAGTGCCAAGAACCAAAAAAGGTGCGCCATCTGAAAATTCTTCACAGAAAGAGAGCTCTAAGAAAGTAAGCTTTTCTGATCAGGTGGAGGTTTTTACTCTATCTGATGCCAAAAATTCTGAGGATGGCTTAGTTCGTGGTAAGCGATTCTCTCGAGAAGAAGATGAAATTGTTAAAAAGGCTGTTCTTAACTACATAGAGTCTCATGAATTGGGTGAAGAAGGTCTAAATATGGTTTTGCATTGTAGATCTCACCCAGAAGTTAGAAACTGTTGGAAGGAAATTGGAGCAGCCTTACCCTGGAGGCCTTATGTGGCTGTATATTATCGAGCTCATATTTTATTTGAAAGAGCTGAAAACCGTAAATGGACTCCTGAAGAGATAGAACTTATCCGGAAGTTTCATGAAAAACATGGCTCTAGTTGGAAAATGTTGGCTGAGGCGCTTGGCAAGCATAGGTTTCATGTGAAGGATACATGGCGGAGAATAAGATTGCCCAATAGGAGGAAAGGACAATGGAACCAAGAGGAGTACCAGAAATTATTTGACTTGGTGAATATGGATTTGCGTATGAAGGCTTCCGAAGAAAGGAAATCCAAGCATGGAATGTTGCGAGATAATATCAGTTGGGAGGCAATCTGTGACAGACTGGAAACCAGATCAGGTCCAGTTTGCTGCGTGAAATGGTATGATCAGTTAACTTCACCATTGGTTGTTGAAGGGAAATGGCGTGATACTGATGACTATCACATGGTAATTGCTCTCTCCAACTTGGATGCTTGCTGTATAGAGGATGTCGACTGGGACAATCTTCTCGAGGACAGGTCTGGAGTTATTTGTCGAAAGCGATGGAACCAAATGATCAAACACTTGGGTCCAGACAGAAACAAATCATTCGCCGAACAAGTTGAAATTCTTTCATCCAGATATTGCCCAGATGTACTTGAAGCTAGAGAGGCCTATAATAGCAAACCAGCAGTTGACTGATCAAGATGCCCGATTGCTGAATACTATTTCCTCACCCATAATCAAGATAGGGACATGTTGCAGGATTTCAATGAAGAGCAATGCTTGAGATGGTAAATTTTGTAGGTTAAACTCTAGAAGACATACCTGTTATAGGCTGTCTTTGTATTATTTCTTTTTTAAGGTGTCTTAATTCCTGTTCTTTCTTTATTGTTTCAATACTTTTTGGGCTTCAAAATTTGTAGATGATAGTTTGGATCTTGTTTTATTTTTCAAGTATTTAATTCTTTTAGTTCCAATTTTTACTCAATAAAAGGATAAAATGTAGCGAAGAAATCGAAATTCGTTATGAAGACCAAATTACATATTGTCTCAAACGCATCAATGTCATTGAGATAATATAATCCCTGAGTTGTAATACCATAATTCGGTTATTTCTTATATAATTATTCAATTAGACAAAGATAACGTTTTCTTGTTATAATGTAATAGTATCTGAAAGAGGGAATTTGGTCTATATAAGGTAACATTGCTGGCCTATGGACCGGCCATTGACACCAGTATCGCAAGCACCATAGTTTTCCGGATATTATTTTGGTACTTGAAAGAGAGAGAATTTGGATTTTGAATTAAACGTGGTAACATTACCCATCAAGGGCAGCAGCAGCACACTAGTCTCACTGTGTCCGATTTATCTCACTTAATAACCAAACCTTGAACTTCCCTTAACGGTAAAAACGACCAAATGTCCTACACCCAACCTCTCATTTCCCTCTCTTCACAACCACTCAATTCCCTCCAAACCCACCGCCCACCCGCCACCACCACCTCGTTTCCACAACCCACTCCCCAAAAAAGCTTCAACGCCACATGGCTGGAGTCCCTCCGCTCCAAAACCCGCTCCAACCAGTTCCATGAAGCCATTTTCACCTACATTGAAATGACCCGTTCGGGTACCCAACCCGATAACTTTGCTTTCCCTGCAGTCCTGAAGGCCGTGTCGGGTCTCCAGGACTTGAATTTGGGGAAACAGATCCATGCCCATGTTTTCAAATATGGGTACGGGTCATCTTCAGTGACCGTAGCCAATACTCTTGTGAATATGTATGGTAAATGTGGTAGTGATTTGTGGGAAGTGTATAAGGTGTTTGATCAAATTACTGAGAGAGACCAAGTGTCTTGGAATACAATGATTAATGCATTGTGTCGTTTTGAGGAATGGGAGCTAGCGTTAGAAGCGTTTAGGTTGATGTTGTGTGATGATGTGGAGCCTAGTTCGTTTACTTTGGTGAGCATGGCGCTTGCATGTTCGAATTTGCGGAAGCGCGAGGGTTTGAGGCTTGGGAAGGAAGTACATGGGTATAGTTTAAGAGTAGGTGATTGGAAAACGTTTACCATTAACGCTTTGATGGCAATGTATGCAAAGTTAGGTAGAGTCGATGATGCAAAATTTTTGTTTGAGTCGTTTGGAGATCGTGATTTGGTTTCCTGGAATACGATTATTAGTTCATTGTCTCAAAATGATAGGTTTGTGGAGGCATTATGGTTCTTGAGTGGTATGGTACTTGAAGGGATTAAACCTGATGGGGTCACGATTGCAAGTGTGCTCCCTGCTTGCTCACACTTGGGGATGTTAGATGCTGGAAAGGAAATTCATGGTTATGCATTGAGAAATGATGTTTTAAGGGGTAACTCTTTTGTTGGTAGTGCTTTAGTTGATATGTATTGTAATTGTAGAGAGGTTGAGAGTGGTCGTCGAGTTTTTCATGGTATTTTGGATAGGAAAATTGCGCTTTGGAATGCTATGATCACTGGTTATGCGCAAAACGAGTGTGATGAGGAGGCATTGATGCTATTCATTGAGATGGAAGAGAATGCTGGGCTTTGTGCAAACGCCACCACAATGGCAAGTGTTGTGCCTGCTTGTGTGCGTAGCGAAGCATTTCCACGCAAAGAAGGAATCCATGGATATGTAATAAAGCGGAGTTTAGAGAGAAACAGGTATGTGCAAAACGCACTTATGGACATGTACTCTAGAATGGGGAGGATAGACATTTCAGAAACCATTTTTGACAGCATGGAGGCTAGAGATAGAGTTTCTTGGAACACAATGATAACTGGTTACACTATTTGTGGACGTTATAGTGATGCACTTCTTTTGTTGTGTGAGATGCAAAGAATAGAAGAAAAAATGGGCAGGAATGATGAGGACAGTAAGGATGGGACATCAGTTTCTTTGAAACCAAATTCAATAACCCTCATGACAGTTCTACCTGGTTGTGCTGCCCTGTCAGCTTTAGCAAAAGGGAAAGAGATCCATGCTTATGCCACAAGAAATATGTTGGTAACCGATGTTGCCGTGGGAAGTGCATTAGTTGACATGTACTCCAAATGTGGCTATTTGAACTTATCTAGAAGAGTTTTTGACCTGATGCCCATTAGAAATGTGATAACCTGGAATGTTATTATCATGGCTTACGGGATGCATGGTAAAGGAGAGGAAGCCTTAGAATTGTTTAAAAAATTGGTGGCAGAAGGTGCTAGGGGTGGGGATGTAAAGCCTAATGAAGTTACTTTCATTGCAGTATTTGCAACATGTAGTCATGCGGGGATGGTAGATGAAGGGATAAACTTATTCTACAGAATGAAAGATGACCATGGGATTAAACCTACACCAGATCACTATGCTTGCGTTGTTGACTTGCTTGGTCGGGCAGGTAAAGTGGAGGAAGCATATCAACTCATAAACACAATGCCCGCAGAATTTGACAAAGTTGGTGCCTGGAGTAGCATGCTTGGTGCTTGTCGGATTCACCAGAATGTAGAAATTGGGGAAATTGCAGCTCATAATCTTTTGCGCTTGGAACCTGATGTGGCAAGCCACTATGTTCTGCTCTCCAACATCTACTCATCTGCTGGACTCTGGGACAAGGCAACGGATGTCCGGAAGAAGATGAGGGAAATGGGTGTCAGAAAAGAGCCAGGTTGCAGTTGGATTGAGTTTGGAGATGAGATTCACAAGTTTGTAGCTGGGGATGGATCACATGAACAAAGTGAGCTGCTCCGTGGATTCCTCGAAACCCTCTCCGAAAGAATGAGAAAGGAGGGTTATGTGCCTGATACTTCTTGCGTTCTTCACAATGTTGATGAGGAAGAGAAAGAAACTTTACTCTGTGGACACAGTGAGAAATTGGCCATAGCGTTTGGTATCCTCAATACCCCTCCTGGAACTACCATCAGAGTTGCCAAGAACCTCAGAGTTTGCAATGATTGCCATCTTGCTAGTAAATTTATCTCAAAGATCGAGGGTAGGGAAATCATCTTGAGAGATGTGAAGAGGTTCCATCATTTTAGAAATGGAACTTGTTCATGTGGAGATTACTGGTGAAAAGGCTGATTGGTTATTCTTGCAAGAAAAGATTCCTTGTAACTCCTATGGTATGTACAATTGTATTAATTTTTTTTTTCTTTTGATTTCCAACATTTATACTATGCTAGTGATGCCTGATTTATCAAAGAATATACAAGAATTTATTAGATGATCACGAAGTTGGCCCTTTTTCAGAGAAATGTTGTATCTTTCTAGTTGAGTTAGCGAAGTATCCATGCTCGTAATTTTGACTGCAAAGCAGCAAGTACAAACTATAGAAACTCAAATTACATAGTCAAAAAACCAAATCTTATCGAACCCTAATTCGCCGATGATCACCTCGACTTCATGCTATCATTCTTGTTTTTCCTTGTGTACTTTCTTTTCTTCTTTTCAATCGAAAGTTTACATACAACAAAACTCGAAACCTGAAACACAATTAATAACAACATCAAAACGAAAGCCTTTTTAATTATAAAGTAAAATTATAAAGATGGAGATTCAATCACCTTTGCTTTCAGAGCATCATCATGTTGAATGGTAGGAATAGTATTTGGTTTAACCCTAAACTCATAAATGGTCCATTTGGATTTCTTGCCACTTGGTGGCGTTCCTTGAAAATAAGCCAAAGTTCTCATGAACCCAATCTCTTCATCTTCTTGTTTAATTGTTTCCTCCTCCTTTATAACAGAATAGTAGCCATCATTGGTTAGGGTTACAGAATCGTTGTGTGGCTTGGTGGTGAAGAAATACCACTCATTTTCTACTCTCCAAAAATCACCGGCTGCAAAATTTCTCAAGAATACTTAAATTTTCGCGTGCTATTTCTAGAACATTGTCTCATGTGAAAAAAAAGAAACGATTCAAAGAAATATAACAATGCGATCATTCTGTCTAACAAAAATCAGTGAACTTGGTCTTTGATTCGAGATTTCTTAAAATCAGAACGTCCACATATGAAAATTTCGTATAACGGAACTTATATAACAAATTCAAATGTGTTGAGATGAATTAGTAAACGATATACAAAATGATAGTAATAATTTTACAAGAGAATGCTCACTTGGCAATGGAAGTTGAGTTGGGTTTCTGGAGTAGACTTCAACAGTTGGTATACAATCAGAGGGAAGAGGCTTACCAAGTATCTTCTTCTTCAAGTAAAACTCTATCAATACTCCATTGTCAGGAGAAAACTTGCACCCACGAGGGAGAAGAGGTGGAACGCTAGGGACAAAATTGTCATCAACATTTCCAGCCATGGGGTGGTTTTTGCAAGAAAATCGAAGTTTTTGAAATCAGTGGAAGCAGAAAAAACAAAATTTCAGTGATGGATATGAAATGATTTTGTTATTGAGTTGGGTTTATATAGACATTTTGAAGTCCTTGCATCACAAGGAAATTGTGGTTTCCTAATCACCATTGGACGACGAGAATGCATGAATCCTCACAAAACCCATTTAAACTCGATGTTACAACTAAGTATTTAAAATTTAAAAACAATTCAAATATTAGAGAACAGGGGTATTTATGTAAATGACAATAATCTGAACTTGATTTTTATATCGACTGTCGATGTCTTGTAACTATATTAATTTTTATGATTATCGTGTAAAATACTTAAAATAGTATCACCGTCGTGGTGATAACATAACTTTTCATTAATAATTTATAGTATGTGGTATTACTAGTATTGTAAGGACATAAACTTTATTCGTAATAAATAATTTGTAATGTTGTTGACATAATATTACAAATCATCCTAATAACATAAACTTTTTTTCATTAATAATAAATGATTTGTAGTATCGTTGATTTTCTTTCTTGTTCTCTCTTTTCTGCGTACAAATTTACCGTATTTACATACAACAAAACTCGAAACTTGACATACAGGTAATATCGATGTTTAACCACATAACTCAATTTCTTTAACCAATGAAAAAACTAACAAAATTCCCTTTTTATTTTTCCTCTTCAATAAATTTCTCTTGTTTCGTTGAGCAAAAAAGAACAAAATTACATACTAAAGATGTAGAGTATATGAGCCAAGCCAAACCGAGTATCTGGACACTCGAGCTCGGTTCGTGGTGAACAGTGTTGAGTTCGAGTTCGTTCAAGCTTTGAATATTTGGGTTCGAGCTTGCACTTTGAGTTTATTATGAGAAAGGGGGTTGTTTGTCATTTTAAAATTTTGAAAATAAAAAAAAGTTACAAAACTTGTAATTTGGCTCTCCGAGCACGATGAGGCTTGCAACCCTATCGAGCTGAGCTTCGTCCGGATCGAACTCAGCTTGACACCTTAAACGAGCCACTCGAGCTTGAGCTTGACTCGGTTGACTTCGAATCAAGTTCGAGCTTTTCACGAGCTGAGCTCGAGTAGCTTACGAATTGCTCGATTTGCTTCTCATTCCTATGTAGAATCAATCATCTTTACTTTCGTAGTATCATCGTATTGAATGACAAGAATTGTGTCAAGATTAACCCTAAACTCATAAATTGTCCATTTGGATTTCTTGCCATTTGGTGGCTTTCCTTGAAAATAAGCCATATTTTTCATGAACCCAACTTCTTCATCTTCTTGTTTAATAATCTCCTCCTCCATTAAAGTAGAATAGTACCCATCACTAGTTAGAGTTACAGAATCATCATCTTTGTTTGGCTTGATGGTAAAGAAATACCAGTCATTTTCTACTCTTCTCTCAGTATCGCCTACAAAATATTTACCAAGAATACTTAAATAAAGAATTGACCATTCTAATAATCTATATCTGCGATGCCCGTGATGTTTTGATGTATTGAATTAGAAGTTTTTTTCAAAATTTTTTTTTGTTCATTCCTAGATTTAACCCGGTCCACTCATTTACTTTTCCTCTGTTCTATATTATATTATTTTGAATTTGTCCCTCTAAAATTAATTCCTGAGTTGTTATCGGCTACCCAGTTTTGTGTATGTCCCATATGATATCTTCGTATTTGAGAATCAACAAATTGAACTCTGTATTGTTCACAAAATTGTGGGCTTTCTTTTTTAATCCTGGATTACTCAATGATTTCTGCAGGCACAAATTTCACTTTTGATAGGACCAAAAGTTCTTTTACAAAATAATCCATCTTTTGGAAATAAATAAATTGAAAACTAATGAATGATTCACTAATAATACTAATAATTTTCAAAGTAATGCTTACATGAAAGGGTAAGTTGATCTGGGTTTATGGAGAAGAGGTCAAGAGCAGTTGGTATACAATCAATGGGAAGAGGGTGGCCAAGTATCTTCTTCTTCTTCTTCTTCAAGTAAAACTCTATCAAATCTTCATAGTCAGGGGAAAACTTCTAGCCAATTGGGGGTCTTTTGCAAAAAAATAAAAGTTTTGGGAGGCAGAGAAATAAAATTTGAATGATGGGTGAGTTTTGCATAGACATTTTTGAAGTCCTTGAATAACTAGGAGTCTAGGATTAGGACACGGCATGAATATACAGAGCCCGGTAAAAAACAATTAGGTCCAATCAGATCTTTGTCAATCAACTGAATTTTTATAATCGATATTAGGAATTAACAGAATAATTTTTTTTTAATACCTAAATACCCCTAACTTGTTTTATGTACATGCTACACATAAATTATGATAATTTACATATCAACACTATATTAATTATAAATATAATTATTTATTTATTTAATTCGGTTATAATTAATATGATAATGGCCTATAAGCAAATGATATCAACTGTGATCCCAATTTTATACATAGAGTATTATTATAAAAAAGAAAAGATAAATGACTCTTAACAAATAATTCTATTAAGAATTTAGAGTAATTATGTTAATTATATTAAAAAAAAAGAGCAAACGACATGCTATCACTCGAGGTTTAATAAAATTTCAAGTTGATGCCTTGATTGTATTTATTTCATATTCTCTTAATCTAATATAAGGCGTCACAATATTATTGTATAAGAGAATTTATTTAATGCCTTGATATTACATTAATTGTAAGTTGATAACCTATAAATCTTATAATTAAAATAATTGACTTTGTATTTTAATGTGCACTTTCAATTCATCATTAATAATCAGCAAACTAATTAATAAATAAATATTTTGTTAAAATAGAAGGGTATTGATAAATAAAGCCTGTTTCACTTTTTTTTTAAAGAAATAAAAAAAATTAAAACGAAAATATAAATACGAAATTTAAAAAGCCAAATTACTGAAAGAGCGCTTCATCCCTCTGCTTGCTCCCGCCGCCAACGACAAACCGTCCTCCGCCGTCAACGACGCCGAGCCCGTCCTTAACACGCCTTTGACTCTTGGTTGGCGTCTTCCTTTCTAATTTTTTATTTTTGTTCATGGTTCTTTAGCTGCCACAAGTTTCTAGTTTATGTTTAAAAGCTAATGAAAGTAGATTTTTTTTTTTTTGAATTCATGGTTTTTGAATGTTTTTATGAAATGGGTTCTATTAAAAGTTTAAACTTGGATTCATTTTTGTAGTTTGCAAAGTTGGTCATTTTTAATAATTTGTTCATTTTATTTTAATTCTCTGGTTGAAGGGAGCTTAATTTTATATTTTATTTTTTAATTTTTGAAGTAGGGTTTATGCTTGTTAAATGTTCAGTTTTAGTTACTGTGTTGATCACAGTGTGGTCTAGTAAGTTTAGTTGGAACATATTGGATTATATTGAATTGAGTGGTTGTGTTGATCTCAATGGGTTCAGTAGATTTAGTTTGAACATATTAGATTTATTCAACTGATGTGCTTTGTATCGCGGCTGCTTCTTTCACTTCAGCACTGCGGCCTTGGCCGTGCTACTGGTTGCATAGTGCAGCCCCTTTGTATGAGAAAAGGTGTAATGAAGTTGAAAGAGAAACATATAAGTTGGTGGGTCATATCTTCCATTTAATTCTCATTTTACATCAGGAAAGACGAAACTGAGGAGAATAGAGAATGTTAAAACCTTAATTTGTGAAACCTTGGAGTCCTACACTAAGCTTTCTTTGTTTTGCTTAATTTATGTCTTAATGTTTAAACTAATTTTTGTTAAATATTCTTTATTTGATTTAATAAGGACAAAGATTGTTCTTTGACTGAGGGAAAGGTTGATGGAGATTGATAGAGCTGATGGTCGTACAGCAAACCAATTGAGACCGTTGTCTTGCTCTCGCAACACCCTCCACCGTGCTCATGGCTCTGCCAGTTGGTCTCAGGGTACATGCTTCGAGGGAAAGTGCTCCCTTTGATATATATGTAAAATTCATGTATTTATTAAGTTTTTGTGATTGATTCTAGGAGACACAAAAGTTCTTGCTGCTGTTTATGGACCAAAAGCTGGAACAAAAAAGAATGAAAATCCTGAGAAGCCCTGCTTTGAAGTTATTTGGAAGCCTAAATCTGGACAAATTGGTTAGCTCTTTTTGTTTCTTTTATTTATTTATCATTCACCTTGATAAATTAAGTGCTTGTTTGTATGCTTGAAAGTTTAATTTAACTTGGCTTTATTTATTTATTTATTTTTATTTATATATATTTTTTTCTAGAGAGTCAATTTTGTTCTTGAGAATTGGTCTAATATTAGGCAGATATGTCTACTTTGAAAAATAGGCAGAGAGCTCACATGTAGGGGAGGATTTTGATAATTTCTTATAAAACTTAGGGAGATCAAACACATTTTCCTTTTAAAATAATTTATTATGGTCTCTATGATAAAAACATTAAATACTGATGTTTTTCCATCTAATTGGTCAAAATTACCAAATATTTAAGGGAAACTGGAGAAAGAATACGAGATGATTCTCAAGCGGACTGTACAAAGCATATGCATTTTGACTGTCAATCAAAATACCACAACCTCAATTATAATTCAGGTGAGGCTGTTTCTTTATGTGTAAATCCCTGACTATTCAACTGCCACTATTTAATACTGTAGTTTTCTTCAAGTGATCAAAGTTACCCCTATTTTATGCATCTGCTTTCTTCACCTGTTGCTTTGAATCTAATTTTTTGATTCAGCATGTGGTTTTTAGTTTGACTGACTGGGGTTCCTATGTCATTAATGTTATTTATATTGCATTATTTACTTTGTGCAATATGAACATTGAATATTTTAATGGTTTCTTTGCAGGTTGTCCACGATGATGGTGCTGTATCCTTTGATGACTATGTGTTTCAATATTCTGTTTTCATTAGTGTCCAGATTGATATGCATTGTGAATTATTATATTTCCAAGTTGATGACTGTTTCTTGACTGAATATTTCTATAGCTTCTGCCTTGTGCCATAAATGCAGCATGTGCTGCTCTTGTAGATGCTGGAATTCCTATGAAGCATCTTGCTGGTAGTTAATCACCAAGACTTACTGTCATCTGTCTTATTTTTTAAACTTGAAGCACGGCCGCTGACTCGTTTATACTGGATTATGCAGTTGCAATATGTTGCTGCTTGGCAGAAAGTGGATATGTGATTCTGGACCCCACAAAGTTAGAAGAGCAGGTTACTTTAATTTCTTAACAATATCTCTTTGCTGATTTGAGTGAGATTACAGGAATTATCTGGCTAGAATAAGGTTCAATTGTAATTGCTTCCACTATTTTACATTAATCATTTTGCTGACATTAAAGTCCCTCTAAATTTAGGTCGTACATGAAGGATATTGTTGTAGACATATAATATATGTTGGTGTTGTAGTGCTTTGAAGTGTGATAAGAAGTATACCCTTTCTTTGCAATACATGTGAAGCCATATACGTCCTGAAAATAGACAAGTTGGGTGCTTTTGAAATAAATGTAAATTCCTATCTCCTAACATTCTTACTTGTGTAATGACAGAAAATGAAGGCATTTGCTTACTTAGTGTTTCCAAACTCAATTCTCTCGGTCCTTCCAGAAGGGTCATCATTGGTGGAAGGTGAACCCATGGAGCATGGGATCATTACTTCTGTTACACATGGTGCAATGTCAGGTATGTAAACTAGAACAATATATCTATGTTTAATCTTTTTGGATTGTGTATCATTGCTTCTGATTTTCCTGTGTCAAAGAAGAAATTTTTGATTCTGGATCTCTTTTTAACCGATTTCTCATATAAACTTGTTCTCTAGTGGACGACTATTTTCACTGTCTAGATAGAGGGCGTGCTGCAAGTGCAAAGTTGTCCGACTTTCTGAGGAGGAACTTGCAATCACAATTACCAAGCCACTCATCCAAAGCAGGGTGATTTTAAAGTAACTGCCTCCCACAAAATCTTGGACTGGTTTGGATTAATGGGTGCCTTCCTTTGTTGCCTGGTATGGCTGATTATGGGAGGGTGTTATTTGAGGAGAGTACGTGCCTCTATGAAGAAACTTGATGTAAACAACAAATGGAACCAAAACCTGTTGTTATGGTAGGGGTTTTGACCCACAGCATAGCCTGCTTGTTGTACTGGGAAGTGGGAAGTACTTTTCAGTATATTGTAGAAATATCATTTTTGGTCATTATTTCTGATCTAATCCTTTTCATTTTTGGGGTTTTCCTTTTTCTCTTTACATAATTGCTGATATATGAAAAGAAAAAGTTGGTTAAATTACACTAGTAACCATATGGGGTTGAATGTACAGAAGGGTGGGGAGATATATTTCAGTCTTGCCTTCATGTTAAAGGAGCATAGGCGCATATCCCCTACCGCCTAGACACAATTTATCTTTCAGAACAGGCTTGGAAGTCGGAATCATGTATATTTTCTCCTAGCTTTTTGAACATATGGCTTATAAAATCCCTAATGGAAAATTGGTGTTTTCAGTCTGAGTTAGGTTATTGGAGGTATTGTTACCTGCTTTCCAACCCTAGGATTGGTCTTGGTCAACCCTTAGACTATAATCCAAAGGCTAAGAAGAGGAAGGAGGATGTTTCCCGTTACCAAATTAGAACCCTAGATAACACTAACTCTTTGGTTGCTGGAATTGGACTTGCATTCCAAATATTCCACATTGGTTTATAGTTTCATCCCCAGAACGTTGATTTTTATATGATTAACCAATAAGAGAGAAGAATGAGAGAATTTACTTTACCAACTGATCAGATACATAAGCATCAAGGCTTCACTAGACAAAAAATTTCGCTTGATGGAGGTTTTAGTACATTATTAGCTAGTGTAACAAAACTGTCTTGAGATCTAGTAAACTCAAGATCTTCATGATTAAAACAGTATCCGATCTTGATAAATGTCCAATGCCTTGATGACCTTCTCTATGAATAGTTTCCGGTGCAATCGGTACCTGTATGAGTACACATTATCAAAAAGTAAATCACTAAGATGGGTCTGGTTATGGTCACTTTAAAAGAGCTCACAAAAATTTACAGGACTACTTACTTGATTGCGGCTTCAAGGGTCCTCCTTGGTTCCGGCATAGAATCTGTAGGTCGGTAGAATAAGGGAAAAAAAGAAGCGTCAAATATTAAAAATATTTATTGTAAACTAAAAATGCTTACTTGCCCAAATTCGTTTGGATTAATTTGTCAGGATAGTGAAAGTCACCATCTAAGGTTAACTCACCAACAAATGCAAAAAGATGGAATCAGGTGTTGAAAGTAATCACTTGACTGAAGAACTTAAGTTAGTAGATATGAGCCGACAATAGCTTTTCAACTTCTAACAGGCTCCCTCATGACTAATATGGACCCAAACGAAGATGAAATAGGCAACGGAAATTCAGATGCATATACCACGTTAACAAGTCACTTGCCTTGAAAACTTATACTGTGTCCAACAATATATATCAAGATCTAACATCATGTTGTGATAATACAAACAAGCATAGCAGATTTACCTAGTACTTTCTGGTCTTGTTTAGAATTGGTGGGGAATTCTGCTAGGATTCGTGGCATCTTCCTGTAATTCCTTCACAGCTTTTTTTTCCAAGCTTGGGATCAGGGGGACATCGCCATCTGACCAAGTAGGCAATGTTCTTGCTGCTGCTATGACAGCTCCATCAACAAAACTGTCTCCATCGCTTGCTAGCCGACCTGCAGTAAATTTATTAGACTGTGATGGTAGAAAAGATAGCTGGATTATGTTTAATAGTTAAGACCACATACTGTTATGGTATATTCTTCAGAAGACCAGATTGTGAAAGCTGACAAGAAAGAATCCAAATGAATGCGCGCATTGCCAGAAAACTGGATCACATCCCAAGGATTCTGCAGTTTTACAAGTGAATATACCTATGCGTTAATTTGGGAAGAATTAGGGTATAATATTGAATTTAAACAGAAATGTAAAACAAGCAAGTTAACAGAATTTCGAATTTGAAATGGAAGTAACTTTGACAGATTCGTTTAAGTTGAAAATAGCAGGGCACTTGTTCAACTGAATATTGCAAACAAGATGAGAATTGATAATGTCCAGAACTGCTAAATCTACACCAAGGATTAGCACTTTTCAAAACCAAACGATGTCTCATCCCCATAAGCTTTAATATTTACCATGAGATACAATTCTACTACATACACTCTGTGAAAAAACATTATTTGCTAATCCAGAACTATCTCACTGAATGACAAAAGAAAAATCTAGCAGATCATTTAACATCATCAAACCGTGAAGGATATTCACAAAACAAACTAGTAGTAAATTATTAACCAATGAGTAATGCTACACCTACAACCTCTGCTCCACAAATTTCTCTCACCCCCCATATGGGAGCTTGTAATTGTGTCATTTTAATTTATCAGGTGAAATCTAGGTGTGATCTATTACGAACTGACTAATTGCGAGGAGTCACGTCGGGGTTATGAGAGAAATTTGTGAGAAGAGATTGTGGGTATAACATTTTCCTTGACCTATATTTGATACACTGTAAGATTGTGGCATAGACGTGACAAAGTAACCGTTCCTAAGTAGAAATACAATTTTGTTTTGCAATTGCTTTGAAAGAACTAACTGTCATGGTGCAAACAGATGCACACTTTTTAAATGGTAAAGATATCATCTCTATGATGAGTGAAGCCTAGAGAAATTACCACTGGTGATGAAAAGCCATATCTTTGCATAAGCATGTTGTTCATCTGTCCATTCATGTAATTGACAGTCATCTGTAGAAAAGAAACAAAAATTGAAATCAAAGAGATCATCTCCGTAAGGTTTGGCATTGGACTGAAGAAGCATGTCATCTTAAGTAGAAGGGAGTGAATGAGAATATGAGAAAGTATGAAATTATATCAAATAAAAAAAAAAGGGACTTGTTTTCTGCAGAGTATGGACATGATTTTTGATTGCCTTGATTGGTAAAAGGCATCAGCAGTTTGCAAATTAGGTCAAATGTAACATAATCTACAACTGTCCGATCTCAAATATGAGAAAGTATGAAATTATATCAAATAAAAAAAGTGGATCTGTTTTCTGCAGAGTATGGACATGATTTTTGTTTGCCTTGATTGGTAAAAGGCATAAGCAGTTTGTAAATTAGGTCAAATGCAACATAATCTACAACTGTCAGCTCTCACATACAGGGCCTAATTGGATCTAGAATTAGTATTTGCCATTCCAATAGGACGAACCTGAACTACAATGCTAACATATTGTATCAGGGATTCGGGTACATCATATTTTTGGCATATAATTAGAAATTTCATACCATTTCTTACATTCATTACGTGCATAGAGGTATACAAACAAATGTAGGGCACTAATAAACATAAAAAGTTCAGGAAATTATGAATATTACCTCTTCTCCTTTTTTAACCCGCTGTCCAGCATTTATCATCACTTCAAGCATGCGGTCCTTAAAACGCCAATGGAAAAAACAATTTGGCTGAAATGAATGGTTTAGCATGTCTGTAAAATGATGAAAAAATATTATATATCTTCAATAATGGCAAGATATTAGATGACATACTTAGAAGAATTTAATAAAAAAAATTTACCAGCATAAGGGATTAGCATATTTGAATCTTGTACAAGAGCACCAATCCTGATTTGTATGTTAATGCATCGTGACTGTACAATACTCATTGCCCACATAAATCTCTCAGGATCACGAGCAAGGCGCTTTATCTTGAGTGGAACTCCATCGTGCTGAGGTTAAAACACAAAGTTTCATTATTGAAGTGGAACATTGGTGTAAAAAAAACATCGTGGGAAGATCAGAATGCTTTCTACTGTATAGTATCAAGTTTCTTCATACCCAGTTCTTTCCCCAGAATTCTAATGCTCTTTGCTGTTGTTTTCTCATTGTTGATGCAAGATTTGGATCCTGCAGCTCCAAAAGATCCTCCTGTTGCACACACAAAGCCATGAGCACAAGAACAAATGTTATGTTTCTTCATAAGGCAATAAAGTGAAAATTTATAGGGATAACGAAATGAAATTGCTGAAAAAAAAAAAAAAAATTTAATAGAAAGAAAAAGGGGCTATTAGATTGACACAAAGCAATATGATGAAATGATTGGATACCAATGAATACAAGAAGAATTCTCGCTAAAAGGTTTTTTTTTTTTTTTTTTTTTTTTTTTTGTGCATTTACCCACCTCAGTTGCTAGAAGCAAGCTAGTGCACTCTTCTGCACTAGGTAAGAAGTCACCATATAGTTGCCAAAAGTTGTCCTCTCGATCAAATGCATACAGAAGAAGGCATGCCAACCTGAGGTCCCAATCTGTCTGCCACAGAGAGATGCACATCATAAGCACAAACGAAAGGCACTCAACTGCTTTAAATTTCAATCCATGTGTTTGGTAATCAGCCAAATTGAAGATACTGTGGGAAGCATAAACGTTAAGGATCCAAACTTAAATGGCTTGGAAGTCGGAATCATGTATATTTTCTCCTAGCTTTTTGAACATATGGCTTATAAAATCCCAAATGGAAAATTGGTGTTTTCAGTCTATGAGTTAGGTTACTGGAGGCATTGTTACCTGCTTTCCAACCCTAGGATTGGTCTTGGTCAACCCTTAGACCATAATCCAAAGGCTGAGAAGAGGAAGGAGGATGTTTCCCCTTACCAAATTAGAACCCTAGATAACACGAACCCTTTGGTTGCAGCAATTGGACTTGCATTCCAAATATTCCACATTGGTTTATAGTTTCATCCCCAGAACCTTGATTTTTATATGATTAACCAATAAGAGAGAAGAATGAGAGAATTTACTCTACCAACTGATCAGATACATAAGCATCAAGGCTTCACTAGACAAAAAATTTCGCTTGATGGAGGTTTTAGTACATTATTAGCTAGTGTAACAAAACTGTCTTGAGATCTAGTAAACTCAAGATCTTCATGATTAAAACAGTATCCGATCTTGATAAATATCCAATGCCTTGATGACCTTCTCTATGAATAGTTTCCGGTGCAATCGGTACCTGTATGAGTACACATTATCAAAAAGTAAATCACTAAGATGGGTCTGGTTATGGTCACTTTAAAAGAGCTCACAAAAGTTTACAGGACTACTTACTTGATCGCGGCTTCAAGAGTCCTCCTTGGTTCCGGCATAGAATCTGTAGGTCGGTAGAATAAGGGAAAAAAA